CCCCCCCCCATCTGTGCTAATCAAGGCGTAATTTTCCCATCCCCTGCACCTAGGTGATTGATTCGAGGCTAAAGCCTCTGAGTAATTCTCATGGTAACGCCCTTGCTACATGGACCACATCTCTGGTAAAACTGTCAGCCAACTAGCTCTCGTCTGCACCGCGTCTATCCTGCTTTTATCTCTAATACCAAGTCTATGACTTGCCATGCCCTAGTCTCTTGTGTGCTAACCCACAAATGTTGTGGTACTGCTTGCTTTGCTTAGGTTCAATGTTGAACTTGCCCAACTTGTCCATGTACACATTCGCCAAAAGAGGTGAGAGTGGAGATACCATCGGTAGAACAAATATTTGCTCATAGATACTGCCGTTAAATGTCAAATATGTGGTCCTTACTGTCAGGTTGATTAGTCGTGTTGACAATTCTTTCCATATTCGTTCTGCCGCCAGGATGTACTCTTCTCGCTCCAAGATCTCCAGCATGTACATGGATTGTACATCGAAACTCACCAACAGTTCCGACCCCACTAACTTAATGTTTTGGATCCTTTGATAAAATTCATTTGAATTTTCAACGGTATTCGAGTCTGTCATTTACTTTCCTGAGCTTCAAGCAAATGAATTTCGCTAGTTTTCGTATTGCTCTATGCTTGTTGTTGAATATTAGTCTTAGTGAATTTCCTTCCTTGTGTATCTTCCGTAGCCCGTAGGCTGTCGGTGGTCTTGCGTCATTTTTTATTAAAGATTTCATCATCTATATGTCAAGTTCCCCCTTATTATGCATTTCCTTGAGCATATTCCTTAGTGTCCCGTTGATCTTAGTGGTTGGATCCTTCCTTAGTATTTGATAAGTGTTCCGGTCGGCGAAGATACTTTTCATTTTCTCCGTGTACTGTTTCCTGTCCATTACAACCGTCGCCCCTCCCTTATCCGCCTGAAAAACTATTTCATCATTCCTTTGTAATGTTTTTTTCCCAAATACCAGCCAATCTCTTCCTGTGTATCAGTTTTTAATGTGTCAGGATCCGTGAGATTATTTCCAGTTCCATCTCCCGTCTTGTCTCTTCTGGATATTTATCCGTTATGTTGACAACTTCCACCAGAATATCACTAAGAACGTTTCCTTCATTACCTAGTGAAAAATGTAACCCCTTCATTAAGAGATCCGTAGTTTCAGAATCAAGAAGGATTGAAGATAAGTTTATTACCTTTATCCTATCGTCGTCTCTAGCAGTTAATGTTTTCAATAAAGAAACATCAAAATTTGCCCGCATTTGCTTGGTCTTGCGCTATCTAATTATTCCATAGCTAAACAAAATCTTGTCATGTCGCTTATTTATCAGATCCCGGACCCTCTATGACTTCTGGTCGGTCATGCTCTGGAGTTTTTAAAAATCATCCAAAGTGAGAACCCTTTCTTAATCTAGACTTGAGATCTATGAACTTAAATAGCTTAAGCCTCTCAGTCTCGTAACTTTCCTCTAATTTCTGGATGGAGGCGTGATAAACTATTTAATTAACTGTGACCGAATGCCACTTCCTCGTTAGATTGCAGAATCGGGGAACGATACCATAATGTTTACAACAATTTAAAAAGGCCAAGTTGCAGGATTGACTTACAATTGTCTTCTTTGTCCGGCTGTAATCAGTGCATTGTCTGGCAATCTTACTTCCATAGTTTAATTGAAAGTATGAATACCAAGATAGTGTGGCCATTTGTGTGATCGAAGTCTCCTTTCATTGTATAGAGGTTATTTGACCTTGTTTTCGCAACTTAGTCATATATGTAGGAAGGCTTAAAGGAATACACCTAGTTTGGAGTCCATTTTATGCATAATACTTTGCAAAGTCGGAACCTGGACGTTATACATTCCCAAACGTTTCGCCGGCATCATCAGTGATTCTTGCCATTCTTAGCACCATACAGCAACTCGTCAAAGATACAAGTAAGTCAATCCTTTGACCAAACGTGTGCTAAACAATTGTGGTATCTCACCTTCTGCCATGGGCTCATAGCCATTCAAAGAGATTTTGTGACATGTTTTATAACAGATTCAAATTGAATAGTTTTATAAAACCCCAAGGAGCAACTAAAAGCATGCAGTTACTAAAACTAAATTGTGACAAGTGGATAATTTCTAGCAAACTTTATTTAGGCACTCTAGAAGTCATGTCGTTCTATTAGATTTTAAATAACCCATAACGCCTAAATATATCCTAATTTTGTATCATGCATAGATCCAACAATAGTTTGCTGAAGTTACTCCGACATTGAAAAGATTGTCATTTTGAATGCAGCATATAAAGCTATAAACATTTTTAAAAAAAT